CCCCCCCCCCCCCGTGCAGAGCATGCCACTATATGTATATATATATTATATTAGAGACTTTATATATTATATTAGAAACTTCTGTAATATTGACAACTTGCATTGTTATATTGATAATTAGTTTATCAATAATTCCAAATATCATATTATCATAACTACAGTAGAATATTGTTGATTTGACAAGAATATTGTTTGTTAAATAGCAACAAGATAGTTGTCAAACAAATAGGAAATATTGTAAATATAACCAGAATTATTTTTAATTAGCATATTATCATAATTACAATTTCACATATGTTGTTTTGATAAAAATCTTGTCGGCTGAATAGCAACAAGATAATTGTCAAACCAACCAATTTTTTTTTAATATGATCAGGATTTTTCTTTCAGTGTACTATAGATAGGTATACGCAAGATATATTTTTATTTTATGAATGGGAAAACTATACATACTTCACCCAAAACAATAGAAATGTATAAACACTATAAACAAATGAATTTCAACGAATTTGTGTATTATTATTATGGAATTTCTTTATTAACTATATTCATTGTATCTTTTTTGTTGTTTGGTATTACAGTGAATTTTATTGCATCGTCTAATTATGCACCTGATGATGTATACAATGTAGACGAAACTGGTCTGTATTATCGAGCTCTACCAGATTATATTTTTGATTTTAAAGGAAATACGGCCAATGGATGCAAAAAACAAATGCAAAGACTTACAATTATGCTGGCGCGCCACATGACAGGTACGGATAAACGACGTCCTTTAATTATTAGTAAAAGTAAAAATCCACGCTGTTTTCGGGGCATTAAGACATTGCCCGTCGATTATTACGCTAATTCAAATGCTTGGATGACTAGTCTAATTTTTACCGAATTTTTACGAAAATGGGATAGAGAAATAAAAAAACCAAGACGTATTTTACTACTTCTTGATAACTGTACGGCTCATACAAATTTAAAAAATTTACAAAACATCGGTTTGAAATTTTTACCACCAAACACTCATTCATCCTCTTGACCAGGGAATTATAAAAACAATGAAAACTTACTATCGAAAAGCAATGCGGAATTCTATTGTTGAAACTATAGATGTATGTGAAATTCCTGCGTCACAAATAGCTCGTAAAATAACTGTGCTAGAAGCTATGCATATGGTGGTTAATGCTTGGGATAAGGTGCATTTTAAATTAGTAGTATCTTTTAGCCGATTCTAAAACCTCATCCCTCATCACTCTTCCTCATCCCTCATCCCTCATCACTCATCACTCATCCCACCGCCCGCATCCTCATCCGCCGCCGCCGCCCTATCGCGTACGTGTGTGACATACGTATACTGCTGTTATTCTAATCAGTTATCAATTGATATCAGTTATCATATCATCGTTATCAATTGTTATCAGTTTTCGTTATCAATTGTTATCAGTTATCGTTATCATTTGTTATCACTTATCAAATTATATCCGTTGTCGTGGAAAAACTGCAAAACAAAAGTCCGAGTATCGAACACGGATGTACCTCCTCACCGTGAGGTTGGTTCTACCACTAGGCCACACCGCCATATTATTTAATAATGTTATTCTTACCTATTTAACCAGAGTTTGAACATATTATAAATAAAATTAAAAATATTTAAACCACAGTATACTGGTCATATTATAATATCATTAGGATACTAATAACTTGCAGCTGCGTACACGAATAATATCGATGAATACACCATAATAGGAGATATTTGACCACAATGGCCCGTATATTTCCTGCCATTAGGATTATTCGATATGTTAAATGCCTATTTCGAAATTCGCACGACTCGTGTCGCCGACTCTTAATAGCCGCATTTATATTGAAAGACACTTTCGACATTAAGAGACAATAGGATAATATCCTTTTCAATTAAAGCTTAATGTACCCTACCGGTCGCCAGGATGTCGCGGACTCATAATGTATATCCCTATTCAATTCTTCAATAAACAATTAAGAACGTACCTCCCCCCACCATTAGAATATTATCTTTTTTT